TTTGTTTGATCTAGATAAAGTATATAAATTAAATCAGTTTCATTATTTTGATCTAAAAATAAATAAAAACGATAATTACTCAGCTACAATGAGAAATCGTTGACTTTGTGCTTTTCCACCTTGCAACACTTTACTTGCGAAATCGGAATGATTCGTGGCTATTGTTGGCCCGTTACTGGGCAAAGTTTATTGATTGGTTTATTTGCTTTTGTACGTTATCGATTAAATGGCGACAATAAGGCCCATGCATTACAGTTGCGACTTGAAATGGCTTAGGCATATGTCTTATTGCGCTCGAATATAATATCCATTTAGACAGAAGACCCCGTCGATCCATATATCATTTAGGCACGTTAAGTTTTGTGCAAATAGGCCAATTCTGAAGTGCTCTGTGTCAGTTGAGTATGTGAGCAAGCGCGACTAACAGATATCCCTCAAATGGCAAGCTAATATGCCCCATTTAATTGCCTGCTGGTCAGAGCATGCAATTCCTGTCAAGCCATGCATTTCTCGATTCAATTTTCATACAAGCTGAACTTGAGACTTGAAATTATTCTGAATGCCAGAGAAATGTGTGTAAGCGAGGGGTGGGCACCACCGTTGTACACCCGATATTTTGTTTTGTAAAATTATATAGGTATTCAGGCATAAACACTGGGAATGCATATAGGGAACAAAGACTAGCAGCAAATTAGTCATAAGCACAGCTTTTGCACTCACAATCAGAATTGGAATCACGCAACTGTTTTTCCACCAAACCAAACTTTTAAATTGGCACGTGCAAACGGAGTGGTGGGAGGGGGGGGATGGGTGGAAGGGCAAGGGCGGAGAGCTTTAAATATTTGCCTATTGCATGACTTTTACCAATTGCAAATCATATTTCATTTTCTGCTGTTTCTTCCTCTCAATATCTGTCTGTCGATAGGGCATATGCCTCATAGGCATCAGCTTATCCCAAAGATTTTCATTGCTTTTGGCAATTAATCAATTTACATTTGTCTGTGTTCAATAATTATTTTCTTTTGCTTTTGCTTTTCGTTTTTCTATTGCTGTTCGGTTTTGTGTGTTTTGACACGTTCCATAAAAGATTCTTGCGCTTCCCCTGCATATGGCTGTATCTATATGATTTATTGTGCGTAGCTTACTTGCTGTTTCATGATCAAAAGAGATATATAATAAATATTGTCTTTGACGATAAGATAGGAATAAAACAAAACAATCTAAGACATTTTAATGCGGATGACAGCGCCAGGTGAGTCAGATCTACACGGTGATTTCTTCCACAGTGCTATAAAACTTAATTAACAATTGTACAGTGTAAATTATTTCCGGCACTGAAACAGTTTTTCGATACAACTGAAGATACACAAAATTTACAGGGTATGTGTTAGTTGTGTTTACTGCCATTTTGGCTGTCATGCCCTTTGACACTGAGCGTTAGCCGCAGTATAGCAGGTCGTATACGTAATATGCACTTGATACAATGCAAACATCACTCATACGCCGCATTGACCTAGCCTTTTATTTAGTTTGCGCGCTGTTTGTGCTTTAGTAGTTCACAACTAATTCAATTTATAGCCACGCCCTCGCACGCTAAACGCCCAGTCGAGTTCCGCTTGATCGAACGCATTGTAAATGGGACAAAGAGAGAGAGGGAGAGAGAGAGAGAGGGAGAGAGAGACTGACCCAACCTGACGATCCTCAATGGCGCGGCATTGATCTTGTAATTTGTTAATTCGAAAATAATTGTTTGGGTGGTTTTACTTTATTTTTTGTTGGTGCGGCTACTGTGTGTAACCACCACCACCACCACCACCACCACCACCCATTCACCCACTGTGGTTTTATTTATTATTTTGATAGACAATCCGAGGGGAAATAAACAGCCAGCAATAAAAAGCTGGCGAGAGAAATAAAGATTTAGCAGCCGCTATTGATGCTCCACGGCTATGCCTATGGCCAATATTTGTTTGCCATTCAATATAATCTCTGTCGATATTGTATGTGTATAAGCGTTTATTCATGTATCGCTCCAATCTATTTCCAGCATGGATCTGCGCTGCCTGCTGCTGAACATTGTCTTCGTATCCGTTGTGAATGCTATGCTGGCCTTTGGCATCGCCAGCCAGGATGAGCGCCGCTGTTCGGTGGGACGGATTGAGAAACTGATGCGCATTCGCTGCTACAACATGGATCTCAAGGAGGTGCCACAGAACCTGAAGACATCGGTTGAGGTGAGTCTGCTGCTTCTACTCCTGCTGCTGCTGCTGCTGCTGCTGCTGCTTATGTGACATCAATTAGCTGACCTGCCTGACGACCTGCCACAAATAAGTTCAATTTCATCCAATAAAAATCTCATGACCCAAACTTAATTCGTGTCTCGCATATCCCCCATGGCACATCATAAGCAGACCCCACTCAAAGCACACACATACGCAGATACACACTCACAAACACAAAGCCAAGCTCAATTGGCTTAATTAAAGCATAAAGAGAGTTCACTTGTGGCTGGGCATAAAATATGCGACAATGTGGTCCACATTAATATGAATATTGTTTGCATGGGAGACAGAAAGACAAAGAGAGAGAGAGAGAGAGAGAGAGAGAGAGAGAAGAAGGGAGTGAGAGTGAGATTCTTTAGTTAACAAAAGTATATAAGGATTTATATATATGTATATTAGTTTACGTTACAAATTATGGCGCTTCGATTCTATATAAAAGCCATAAACTATTTATTTTACGATCAGCAAGCAGAGCTGAGATGATATATCCTTGCCGCAAGAGTGAAAGATTTCATATTTACTTTAAAAGTTCATCTTATATTCATATCTCTACCCACAACAGATCTCTTACACAGTTCGTATACCTACTTATAATCATATACCTATAGCCGTACCCCCAATGCCCATATCTGGCATGCCCCTATCATGACTTCACAATTTCTTTGGAGCAATTATAAATCGCGAATTAAAATAATAATTTGCTGTGTTTTGTTTATTTCCAGGTACTGGACTTATCGTACAATCGCATTAGGAAGCTGAAAAGTGGCTCGTTCCAGAGGTATACCGATATTAAGTTTTTAATGCTATATGAGAACATGATCTTATCTGTGGAGCCGGGCACATTTGCACCGCTCACCGCGCTCCAGGTAAGTCCCACTCAAATTCAATTAAAGCTCGACAATTACTAAACTAATGATCGATTGATGCACAGGAAGTTGATCTGTCGAATAATGGTCTGACCACGATTCCCATGGAGCTGTTCGCGTTGCCCAGGCTGCGCAATCTCTACGTAGACAGCAACGAGCTGCGGGAGCTGCATCAAGATCTCGAAACGCTGCAGCGACCGATTCGTGCACCGCTCGAGTACCTCAATCTGGCCAATTGTGACCTGCACGATATTCCCGATCTGGGCATATTGCCAAGTGAGTAGTTAAACCGTATGCTAAAGTTAATTATTTATGGAATACTTTATAAGAGATAGCTATGCTATTTATTAAGCTATGATCCGGAATCGTCTTAAGAATATTTGGAAATTAATTAATAGGAGCTTAGAATGTCATCTCTTCTCTATTTTCTTTTCATTTACCAATTGCTCACATATTTGTATATGCTAAAAATAGTGTTTATTGGCAAACCCAAACCCAAACTCACTTTTTGTGTGATATATTTAACTGCATGTCAAATAATATCGATAATAGCAATATGAAAATCTAATGGATTTAAATTTGAGACACTTTGAGGCCTATGACGTCAGCTTTGAATATAGTAGTAGTCTAGCTGATTCTCAGATAAGTTAAATAATGCGACTAACAAACAAGTTGACAATAATTAAATGACAATGGTGAAATGACTGGTAAAATTTAACAGGAGCATGACATCGTATTTATATATATA